TTATGAAAATGCCTCAGGATTGTTTAATGTTATTTCATCTCATTCTGTTAATTATGGCATTTTATGCAGACAATGAATTTAATTCATTCTCACTCACTCCACAGTTAGTCCGGAGTCTCTTCAGAGACTCCTCTGGATCAGCTCCAGCTCCACACAATACAAACAAGGGCACAACCCCGGCACAGCTGTGCATGTTGTTCTGTGCCTGGACTAGGTCACTTATTTACTTACAAGTAAGGTAGAGCTCGAACCAAAAGGCTAAATTCATCCATTAGGGAAAGTTTGGATCTGGACTCGGATCTGAACTTGTGGTATAAGCTGAATGCTAATTGTTCTATAAATAATTAATATACTTAGCACTTTTCCCTTGTGTAGCATCCCATAGGAACCATCTCTCCTTCTCTCACACATACACATACGTACTCTTCCTTCATTAAGGATTCCCAAATACAGTAATTAGAACAGTCATCAAATTTGGATCTGTCCGATCAATGCCACTCCAGCTTTATTTCAGTGCAATGGCAGTGGCCTAGAGCACACTGATCAACACGGCCCAGGACTCATTCACTACTGCATCAGGAGATCGTTTAATTAGAAAAAAGCCACTGAGACACTGTTTTGCCTGTGATATGAAACCTGCCAGAAAATAACTCGGACGTAGACATAACAGGACATGGTTTTCCTCATTTATACATTACATTTATGACTCTTTCAAAACAAACTGTTCAAATGTATAAACTTCATGTTCACTTTTGTCCTGTGATGTCAAGTTGCAGCACTGATAAAGCTACTGATTGGGTAGACACCAGCACATAAGACTGACAAATATGCAAATACTCTATTTTGGGATAGAATTGACACGTTATGCTCCATGGCTGTCAAAAATCCAGATGCAATACTACACAGAAAAGATGCCTCTTTCAAAATTCTCCTTGGAGGGACCTCAGAAAAATTGAGCTTTAGCCATATACCTCTAGTCAGGTGATTTCTCTTAGCCCCATCTCCAGCTAACAGCGAGAGAACTGATTCTCCAGGAATGACCAGAATCCAGAGCACTTACCCCACCTTGTGTGGGTGAAGGGCTTCTCGTCAGGATTAGCTATAGAGGGGCTGTAAGGGTAGGGAACAAGTAGCAAGCTAATGTTCCTTGCCTATGACTAAGGAGTCTGATTGTCATCCCCACATAGTTTCTATATTAAGTGATTGTTTTGTTTAATAATTCCAGTATTCTCTTTTTACACTTCATGCATGAGAAAATCTGGTAATTCTCTTGCAGAATTTGGAGAGAGCTTTTCAAAAAGTTGAACAATATTCAGTCCTTGCTTATGTCCTGGATTCTTTTCACAAGGGTGCAGCAGAACGCACAGTAAGCTGCAGTAATCAAGTCTATTTTTTTCAAGAGCAAAAGCTCGCTTTTTTTGTCATTTTTATCTCAGCCCATTAGATTATACAGGTCACAGTTCCTCCTCTTTTCCTACAACAAATGGGAACAGTTGGACATTGTAATCTCCCCTCCATACTTTTCCTGTGAAGTTTTCATTACAGACCATACGTACTTCCCTTAGCTGCAACCTGCCCTACTTTGTAAACAAGGTTTGAAGAACCAGAGGTAGGAAACAGCCTCTCAAAGGCAAGCATTTGGTTAGAATATTCTGGGAAATGTTCTAATAAACTATTTCTGCAAGACAATGTTTTGATGACTGCTGTAATAATCTGGCACTAGAAATAAATTAGATGCCCTAGTTATCAACCATGATGCGTTCTTTTAAAAATCCACTACTATTTACAGCACAACGACTAAATCCATCATATATAGTTGGGGGTAATTTACAGTGTAATGTATTAAAGCACAGCAACCCTAATGAAAAGCTATATAAATTACACAAACAACAAGCAACCATTTGCCAGAAAAAAAAAAAAAAGGAAAGACATGTCAACAAAGAAAAAAGACTTTTTTTTTTTTCAGTCTTTCCTTCCTTTCAGGGTCTAATCCTGCCCGTCACGTGCACTGCAAAAGTCTAGTTCAACTACGGAAAACCAGAATCTTGAAAAACAACATCATTAATCAGGACCAACGCCATTGAAAATAATGTAATTGTGCGGGGCTGATGCAGTAATCAATCTAAAGCCTGCAGGGGACTCGTGTAGCTATGGCATGACAGCTCCTTTGGAAGGCGTATTCCGACAGGAAAGAATTAACTTTGAGGGTTGCTCTGCTTTGTGCTAAGCAAATTCCTTCCCTTCAAGTGGAATACATCCTTCTCACTGCAGAATAATCCAGGAGCTGCCCTTTATTCATGAAGGCTCGCACTTTAGTATGGAAATGGCCACTTACCGAAAAGTGGAAGAGAGTCACAGTCAGCTGTGGTGGCATCCTCAAAACACGGAACGCAGTGGCTGGTCCCATGGGATGAATGCTGCCGTTTCCCTGCCCTTCTGGCATAGCAGCAAAAGAGCGTTCCTTGTTTCTTATTGTTGAATATCCTTTCTGCTTCCTGTTACCCTGATGAATGGAAAAAACACAACTTCAGATATGCTACAGGAGGTGACACTAGTACATTGGACTGTTGCTTGACAGTCTCAACTTTTCCCTCCCTCTCAATTTTGTCATAAAACAGAAGCATCAGGGAGACCAAAATGCATCTACATGCCATCTTGACATTGGCCAACGACAAATGATTAATAAAAGTACAAGAAACAGGGCAATTCCAGGGTGTTTCAGGCCCCGATATGTCCTTCCAGCTTCTTGTGGCCAGCTGTTTATCTTTTCAGAAGGTTAGACACTGATTTCTTTCAGCCAGTAGTCAGTTAAATCAAGGAAGCCAAGGTTTTGCTAAAGAAAAACAAGTGTCCCAACACAGGGCTGCAAATTTAAAAATAGGAGGAAATTACATTTCCTACCCAGAAGAACTGAGTGGTGGGATGAGGCAAGTCATGCCAATTCTTACGTGGGTTACAACAGAAATGGAGAGGCGAAGATGTCTGCTTCCAAAAACTCTTCTTCCAGCTTCTCTAGATGATGAGCCTGGTGGGCTGGTTCAGGTAACCTCCCCTGATACAGAGCTTGCTAATACTTTCAAAGGTGCAATTCAGTTCCAACCCAAACAGGAAAGATTAAGCTTTACTCCTGCTCACTGCACTCCAGGCAGTGGATGAAGAACAGCCCTATCTACGTACCCATTTGGTGGCATTGTTTCTACCCAGATGATTCAAAACAGCTCTGATATTAGTTTCCATAAATCAGCCCTTAACAGTACTGAATCATTAAATCATTACTCAGACATGCTTCCCAGTACAATGCCTCTTGAAAGGGGCTCTGAACATTTTAGCATCCAGAAAGAGGAAATAAAGTCTTTGGAAGTCTGCAGACAGAGGAGTAGGATGGGGAATTCAGCAAGAAGAATATGCAGAAATCTTTCTGCCACTGAACAACTGAAGGATTTGTCCAGATCACTGACCTCATCACCCGGGTACAAGCCCAGCCCTGGTGCTTCTTTGGAAGCTGCTTTTAGGCACATGACATCTGCAGTTCCATACAGTGAGGAAGGACCAAGATGAAGGCTTCACCTTGTGTAACCATGGTTCAACCAGGAGCTCTCAAGCTGCTAAATTAGGATTTCTTTTTGTTTGCCTGTAATACCAGCTGTTACCACAGGGTAACACAACAGCACTGACAATGAAACTTGACTCAGATCATGGTGAAACGATCCCAAAAGAGCAGCAGAATTGGAGTTTCTCAAAACCCATGGAGGGCTCCAACGAAGTTAGAGGAAATGGAAGAACACAGTGAACAGCAGAGTTGAGGTCTCATAGGTCAGAATGAGACCTCATCCTGCTCATCTGGCAGAGGCACTGCCACCGATTTCACTGGGCACTAGGTCAGTCCTACAAAGCTTTGGGGGGAAGTTTGCCACTGGATTTTGATATGGGGGAAAGAAAAGCATGGATAAGGAAAAATATGGCTTCACTACCTGTACAAATGCTAGCTCATCATCACCACATACAGAATGAGGAAAGTGGGAGCACAACAGAATTTTAAGAGCTTCCTTTTCTCTGATGGTTCTAAGTCAAATAAATCTGTGTTCTT